CCTCTTTCTTATTTTCTCTTTTCTCTCTCTTCTTCTTTTCAATGATGATTCCAAAATATGTTCTCTATCCTTAAATTCCTTACTTAACACCTTCCCTCATTTACTATTTTGTGGATGACTATGGGTCTTTCTTCTTTAAGAAAATTGAGACCATTGGTCACCATCTCTCTCAATTCTTGCTTCCTGACCCAACATACTACCTACAGACATATTCATATCCAGAGACAGCTTGCCTTTCTCCTGTTCAGAGAGAAAATCTCCCCATTTCTGTTAAACGTTAGCTCCTCCTCATTCTCTTGACCCTATTACTTCTTATTTCCTCTGAGACTGTTAGTCACCATTTTCTCCTGAATGTCTACCCCTCCCTCTTTAAGGATTTCTTTCCTTCAGCCTGTAAACATGACAGCGACCCAACCACTAACCTCATGTCCTAAACTCCATAGTGTTTTACAGGTCTGTCTGCCTTCCCTCACTTTCCATTTCTGCTTTTGTTCACCACTTCTCCCCCAACACTCAGTTGAAATTGAGTTTAATAATTAGCAACTTAGTGACCTCCTATATTTTAGACCTCATGGACATTTTTTGTCTTCATTTTCTTGACTCCCTTTTCTGAATCTGTGTGATGTAGTTGATATCTTGCCTTTTTTGGAATATCTCTATCTCATTGGCTTCCAAGGCACCAAGCTCTCCTGGTTCCTTTTAACTCTGTTTCTTGATCATGTAAAGGTTGGCATTTCTCAGTTTCTATCCTCAGGCCACTTTCCATGAGGGTTTGATCTATTGACTAGAGGTAAATCCAACCCCCAAGTCTAGACTTCATTCCTGTGCACTATTTCCCAAGTGCTTATCTTTAGTTCCCACCTTTTCCCTGCCTATACAACATCTCCATGTGGATATCAGTCATCTCAAACTTAACATCTTGAAAGCTAAATTATTGATTTCCCGTTCCCCAAGCTATTACTCAAAACATTTTTCCTCTCTTAGCTGATGATAATTCCAAACTTCCAGTTGCTTAGCTTCCCAAACTTGGAGTCATCTTCAGTTTTCCTTTGTCTTGAACTGTATGTCCAGGCCATCAATAAATCCTGCTCTTTCTACCATCAAAATATATTCAGAATCTGATCACTTCCACTGACTCCACTGCTAACACCTTTATCTCATTTACCATCATATATTATCTGGATTGTTGTACCAGCTCCTAACTGAACGCCCTGCCTCTGCCCTTGTTCGCCTCCAGTCTGTTCTCGAGGAGCCAGGATGGATTTTAGATCACCTTTCTGACCTCTTCTCCTACCGTTATACCCAGAAAACACTCTTTTCACAAAAATGCTTGCTCCATGCTTCCCTCAGTCCCCACCTGGAACATTTTTTCACATGTATATGAGACTCACTCTTTCATTTCCTCAAATACCTCCTCGTCAGGAAAGGCTTCTCAGTATTCCATATAAAATAACTCTTCTCCACTATCCTTTTCTAATCCTGCTTTACCTTTTGTTGGTGATCATCTGCTCTTTCTTATTAGACATTTTTCCTTGGGTTTCAGAATAATAGATAGAATCTCATTATTGATTCATGCATGTCACTATTTACTTATATAATTAGCTAGTTATGTGTTCGCTTTTGATGCATCGCTGTACACTCACTGTTCGACATAGAAACTAGAAATACAAATCAGTATTCTTTGGTATAACTTAAAATATAAATGTTATTTCTCCACCCCCAGTGGAATGTAAGTTTCCCGAGTACAGGCACTTTGTCTTACTCCTTCTATATACACAACATCTAGAACAGTGCTTGGCACATAGGCACTTACAAGTAAAGTCGGCACTGCATATTTCATACTGATGTTTTCAAGGGTAATGCAACTATCGACATGTCCCAAATCAGAATTAAATTCCCACATCCCTACCTCTGTTCTCCCTTCTTCTCTCTCCACATTCCTTTCTCTTGAATGCGCCCTCCATGCCTTTGCTCATTCTGACTTCTCTGTCTGGAGGAGACCATTCCCTCCCTCTTGGCCTCAGGACACCTGTGTAACTCCTTCAAGAGATTTGCCAGTCGCCTTCTCAAAGATACCTTCACTGCCCCCTCCTTTCACTCTCCCTTTCTTGGGGTCCTCTCATGTCACACGCTGTCCCTGTGCACACACACTGTGTTTCTCTAATGACCTTCTCCAAGAGGCTGAGGGCTCCTTGAAGTTCAGGAAGCAAATCCGAGACCTCACCTAGGATCTTTTCCCATATCTTTAGGATGTAATTTAAAGCTGGCATCGGTATGCTCAGATCATAGATGGAGGCATAGAAGTGCACTTCAACCGGTTTCAGGACAGGAGAGCCCCTTAGGAAGAGTCTTTTCCTGTCACTTCAGTAGGAACGGTCTCCTTGTCTTCTGTAAACCTGGTTACAAGTCGGTTCCTCCTGTGCCCCCTCTGGAAGGTAACCATGGATACTGTTGAGCTGGCATAAAAGCCTTCAATTAAATGGATACTACAAGTGGGTTTCAGGATGCTTAGAGGGGTTTGACTTGGGGGACAAAATCTGGAAACACTTGCAAAGGTAGGAGGACTTTTTGCCTCCAGTCTCTAGGCTAGGAATATCCCAGTTAGGATGGACGCTCATGGTCAGCAGAAGCCCCAAGGACTCTAGGCGGGCTGGGATATTAACTAGCTGTGAGTCCAGCATCAAAGGCAATCCCAGCCGGGTCCTCTTCTTGGAAAACAGGGACCCCGCTGTGAAGCTGGGGCGGTGGACTGACTCCAGCTACGCCAGTGGCAGCCTGGGCTGGAGATAAAGGGATTTCCTGACCCCAGCCGGGAGCTTCCAGCAGCTCCACTCCCCTTCCCCACATCCTGGCCCCAGCGGTGTCCTACTAGGAGACATTCACACCAAGGAATGTCCTTGCAGCCCTACTGACTGCGGGGAGGGCGCCCACGTGCCTTCCCGGACTTTAGGAGTCCGGGTCGTCCTCTCCGCTATTGATTCCCAAACAAGGCACGCCTAGGGCGTGGGGATCGGGGCACTTCCTCTCACTCCTAGACCTGCTTGGGGCTGGGTCTCAACTTTCCAGCTCCTGCCTGCAGCGGTTGGAAAAGCCAAACCAACCGCACAAAGGCTCAATGCCGCTGAGTGGAGGGTGGGTGTGGGTCACGGTCAGTGAGTGTGTGTGTGGCTAAGTCTGCTCATTTCCTGAAGTGAGATCTTCGAGGGAGGGAGGGAAGGAAGAGGGTGTGGGAGACGGACTTGGGGGCGAGGGGTGGCGGCGGTTTCCCGGCGCTTTGACGTAGACTTGGAGAGGCGCGGAGCACTCCTACTGCTTAAGAAGAGGCGCCGGAGCCGCCAGGACGCCGCCACTGGGGACCTGCACTCGCTTGGGAGCAGCCCGAGCCTCTTCTCTCCGCTCGCTCGCGGGAATCCAGGCAGGGCTGGGCAGGTAAGTGCGGGGGGCGCCCTTCTGTCCCCTGGGAGGAAAGGCGTGGAGTAAGGAGGCGAGTGGGGCACAGAGGACACACAGAGGGTCCCTGGCAGCTCTGCTCCGAGGAGGGTGAGGCTGTGGGACCAGGTGCGGGACGAGGACCCCGGGGTTGAGGAACTTCCAAGCTCGAGGAGGGCGCTCCTAAAGGAGCCCAAGTGAGCGCTGTGGCCCGAGCTGCCAGGGACCAGGGAGACGTGGAGAGCGCCAACTTCAGCACGCTGGACAGCGCCCGCCCTCTGTCTTCAACTTAGCATTGGCATCCGGGACGAGTCCTCTAAGAAAAAGCAACTTTGGCGCCCCTCCGCTTTGGTAGCTTAGTTCAGAAGAGGACAAATGGAATGTAATTTTGTTCAGGTAGAGATCTTGTGTCAATGACCTGAAATACAGGGGGAACATTTTTGAATAATGTTGTATCTAACATACCTTTTCAAAACAGGAACATGCATGTTCAAAGACGGTTTATGAAATATCGATTTAAGGGTGTCTCAATACGATCTGCTGCTGTGCAGGAGGAAAAGATTCTGTATTATGGTGTTGTCATTCAATGTTTCAATATAGATGTATTTCCACGAGCTGTGCCCTGCTTGCCTTCATGATACTAACATCTAAAATGTTAGGAACTATAAGATAAGGCTGAAAATGACCCCTCCTGTGCAAAATGAGATACATTTTGTATAGTCTGTGAAGAGTCAGATAACCTGTCTGGGAAAAAAAATAGGTTATTATTATCTTAAGGATATCATTTCTCATTGCACGTGTCTGAAGTGTAACATAATTTCAAATTGGTATATGGATGCCTTGATTTTATTGCAACAGGCTTTGATAGCTAGAAAAATTTAACAAGAGGCAAATTATTTTTGTTAAAATTCTTGAGATTTATAGCAAGAAAAGGGAAATGAGAGAACATCATTTTATGAAAGTTATATCAGAATTGGAGAATATTTTAGGTGTTGGTAAAATGTCCATTGAGTCTACTCTAATGGGTTAAATATATGTCCCTTGGCTCACATACTTTTTAGCACACTATCTCCTGTTTATTTTTATTTACAACATTTTACAATTCTTATGCCTTTTTAAAAAAAATTAAAATTACCTGAACAGGAAGGCATCCAAGGGTGAGATATATTAAAATTCTTAATTGCACAGGAGTCCTTGATTAGGATAGCTAAGCTGAATTATGATTTTGTAAAAGAATGAAAGCCATGCGACAAGATTTTAAAATTTCAATTAAGATCTTTTAAATTATGTTCCTTTACTAGAAAAAAAATGTGTTCACTCATTCATCTTAAAGGATGAGTGTACATCTTAGGAGTACATATTTCTTAGTCTACACTATCCAGCTGAACAATGAATCATTTTAGATAGAATAGTGCTTGTGATATGGGGAAAAATGGTAAGACTTCCTAAGGACAATGGTGTGTCTCCTTTGCTGGCATCAAGATTCTTAAAGGCATAATTATTTTCTTTACTGAGTGGAGCACAAGCAGGGACTCATGTGAGATATTTCCATCATGTGCATTTTCAGGGCCATGGCTGATCCTGGAAACAGAGGAGGGCTCTACCGTCCCTTGAGCCTCACCTGCTCCCTGCTCATTGTGGGAATGTGCTGTGTGTCTCCTTTATTCTGTCATAGCCAGACAGACCTGCTGGCTCTTGACCAAGCTGATCCCCAGTGCTGGGAATCCTCCTCAGTGCTCCTCCTGGAAATGCGGAAACCTCGGATTTCCAACACTGTGTCAGGTTTCTGGGATTTCATGATCTACCTGAAGTCATCGGAGAACTTGAAGCATGGGGCACTGTTTTGGGATCTGGCCCAACTCTTCTGGGACATCTATGTGGACTGTGTCCTCTCCAGGAACCATGGCTTAGGAAGGAGGCAATTGGCTGGAGAGGAAGAGGAGATCTTGGCAGTGCATCCACCGCACTCAGGGAGGAAACAAGGTGGTCAACCCCGGGTCCCGGGTCTTGAAAGGGTCAATCCAGTATGGATGTGCTGAATTGTGAGGAAGAGGGAAGTGGCTTTAGACTGATCCATTGCCATATGTATATTCATCTCAGGGGTGAACCCTACAAGCACACACGTGATAAGAAGATAGTACTTCCTCTTGTATTTCATAGTAGCTGTTTATATAAGAATATTGTCCTCATCCTTATACATCATGTGAACAGCAGCAAGGAAAAGTCAGAAAGACGAGTAAGGGAAAAGGAGGAGTCCCAAAATGCAACATAAAATTATAAAAGGATGCCCCTAAATTAACACTATTTTTTTTTTAACCATTAGCCTAAATATTGGATCATAACCTGTGTTTACTTGCTCTGGACTTGGGAAGGTTGAAATACAAACCTGGGGAACATGCACAATCACATAAACGGTTGCCACTTTTAAATAAAACAAACAGCAAACACACTGCTTTCATGTAATTGCAAGGACTCCTTGAGATGTACTTAGCTGATGAAGTAAAGGGTAGAAAAAATGGCTGGCTTACAAAGTCCCTCCTCATTGCTTTTTAAACAAATCTCAAGTAATTAGCTCCCAGCAAGCTGAATGATTAATATTTAATAATTTAGAACTTCTTACAAATTTAGAGGTTTTCACATCAGTAAATTTATATTAAAATGCAATCTTCTCTGAAGGCACTCGATGAAATGTCTTTTAGAGAATTAGAACGAGGGAGAAACAGTCTGGAGCAGTGATGGCGAACCTTTTGAGCTCGGCGTGTCAGCATTTTGAAAAACCCTAACTTAACTCTGGTGCCATGTCACATATAGAAATTTTTTGATATTTGCAACCATAGTAAAACAAAGACTTATATTTTTGATATTTATTTTATATATTTAAATGTCATTTAACAAAGAAAAATCAACCCAAAAAATGAGTTTGCGTGTCACCTCTGACACACGTGTCATATGTTCGCCATCATAGGTCTGGAGTAAATTGAGAGATACCTTAGCCGTAAACATATTGCTTTTGCTCCTTTCTTGGCAGTGTTTCAACGAATGAGCTTCCAATGCTTGCAGCAAGGGCTGTGTGAGTGGCAGTGAGTTAGTAAATTAGAATTATATACTTTAATAATTAAGTTATTAAATTATAAAATTAGAATTATTTATACACAAGTGGAACACTAAAGCATAACTAAATTTTGCATGCATACATTGTATTGTGAGAATTCTTATGTATTTCCATAATCTCTTAAAATAGCAACCAACCATAAGCGTTTCAGATGAACACTTTCCCAAGATATTGTAGAGCCTTTATATATCTAGTTTGTTTTCACCTTAGTAAGTAAAAATCCTCATGATTTGCTGATCCATAAAGCCAGATATTATTTATAGGTAAATTTATTATTTTAGCAAGTGTTATTGTAACTTAAACTAATTTTATGTTTTAGAGGAAATGTTCTTTCAGCAGCTTAGCTTTAAAGTAGAAACACAAAACGAGTGTCTAAATGTTTGTTATTAACATTTAGACATATTTTGAACAGAGGCTGCAAGACATCAGTCGCAGTAGGGACTGTACATTCTCCTCATCTACCTGAGTAGTCTGAGACTGTTTTTTTGAGCACACTTCAACATGGCATTTCCATCCTCCATTAACTTCAGCTTTGGGAGCCACTTCTTCTTGATACAGAGTTCCTATTGACCCAGATGGTCTGCAAACTTTAACTGCAGTTGCTATGCAAGTAACAAGAGTGAACTTTTCACTTTATTGAAGTTGTTTTAACCTCTGACATAAGCAATTGTTTAAAGATCAGGAAACAAGACTTTCCATTTGGTTTGTACAATTATAATGGAAGAGTGTCTTGGGTCAAGAAGACACTATATCTAAAAGTTAAATTGTGGCAGGAACATTGAGATTTCCGTCTCAAGAGGGTTGATTAAATCTCTAGTTGGCTCAGTTGGCCCTGGATGTACCTGTACAAATTCCGCACTTATTTTTTCTTTTGCTACCAGGTCAGGGTGGGGATGAGGGTGTAGAGGTGTTAGTCTCTATTGTTCTCAGGGAAATCAGAGAATCAGGGAAATCATCAGAACAGAAGTCAAGAGCTACAATAAGTGCCTTCATAATATGCAAAAGGTTCTTATTACTTTGATGTTTTGGAATAAAATAGTTTAAATACAGTTGAGAGATGTTGCTTTAAATCATGCTTTGTTAAAAACAGACCTCCTATATACTTGTGTATGTTAATGTGTTATGTTTGTTAATATTGGGCCAACAAGTATAAACAATAGATACCAAAGAGCCATGTAATTGGGCAAGTTAATTTACTTACTTAGCCTTCAGTTTCTTCATCTGAAAAAGAGGGATATAGGAAGAATTAGATGACCCATAAAGAGTCTACACTACAGGCTCTTGCTTCTAATGTTTTGTGCGTCAACAGGAGGAAATGTACAAAAGGCATGTATTTCATTCTGGGAAGAATCTGGAAGAGCTTTACCCCAAGGACAGCTTATCCACCAGGGTGATGGATGACCTGGACACCATGGTTGTTTGTAACAATGATAAGCAGGAACAGAGGAAGCCCAGAAACGAAATGAGAATTCCAAAACCTCTGAGGGCTAGAGACATCATTTCAGAAAAAACTCAAAAGATCATTGGTATTTAGTCTGGAAAGATAAGAGCTAAGAATTGAATGCTGAAATATCTGGAAGGTGTGAGGGCGGTGTGCCAAGGCTTAACCACTAAATTGTGATGAATTATATAAAGGCAGAGAGGGAGAGGAGGAGGAGGGTAGAAAAGAAGGAGCAAGGGACAGGGGGAAGGAGGAGGGAGATGGAGAAAGATAAAGGTATTAATTGATTTAGGAAAAGAGTAGGCTGATGATAACTCCCAGTAGAAAATAACAGAGTAGTGGTTAGCTCATGGATTAGTTTCATGGGGCATGTGCCTTGATGGGGAATCAAACAGGCAACTTCCTGGTGCATGGGACAATGTTCAACCAACTGAGCCACACTGGTTGGGTGATACCTGCTTATGTTTTAAACACCAAACAGAGGAGAAAACAATGCTTCAGATATATAAATAATTAAATTACAAATGCTTGGTTTTCTATTTTATTCCAAGAAATTTCCCAAGGAACATATTCAGAAATTACCCATCTAGAAATCTATTCTAAGGAGACATTCAGCGATGTAACCAAGGATGCACTATGAGGCTCTTCACTGCAGTGTTATTTAGAGCAACAGGAAATTTGAAAGTCGCCTAAATGTCCCATAATAGGGTAATGGTAAACTAAAGTATGGTATAAAGTGTGTATGCATAAAACTATGGTTATTTCTGGAAAATTATGCTGAGGGTGGCTTCAAGTTTTTTCTTCACATTTTTATACCAAAAATTATATAATGACCATTTTTATTTTTTAAGTCAGAAACATATCTTAATACATATTAATAAGAACATGTTTTTATTATCATTTAATTTATATAACTGAACTGCATAGGACACAGAATTGCATAAACACATATTTACATATACATGTCTGGAGTAAATGTATACAGAATTTTGATAGTAGAGTGGCAAAAACAGCAAACTTCCTTTTTAAAACGAATATATTGATATTTAATTAACGTGAAAAAATTCGGTGGCTTAATGATTCATTCCTTTTCTTTACTTCCAGGTGCACATTCTCAGCAACCAAGAATCCTTTCCCTGAAGAAGAAAGAGATTGAAGATTTGCTAAGCCTGTACATACGCAGGAGAGGGTCTAAGTCAGTTGGAAAAGCAAGCAGTGGCCTTGAAATAGAGAGAAAATAAATCTAACTTCAGAGCTAACTCAAGCGTTGGAATTTAAAAATATATATATTTTTCTTGACAATTGATCATTTATTCACTTGAAATGGTGGGAATGTCCAGAGATAAATATTAAGCCACAGAGTACTTAGTTTCATTCGTTTAGGCTGCTAGCATGTTCCTTCAAATGATGACCTTTCTGCCAGATCATCCCACAATCTGAAAGACTTAAAAGAGCTTTCAAAGATGAGTAGGGGTTGTGGGACACTCTTTGTATTCATTTTGACCATTTGTTTTGGGATGCATGACATTGTTAATGAACTAGAGTGCCATACATTTAACTTGAATGCGTTGCATGACTTCCAAGCCATTAACCACTGGATTGCTTATGCACAGGCATATTAATTAGCAGTTACTGATGACCTGTGATACCCGAATCTTGTTTGAAAGAATATTTTTGAATATTTTAACTAAATGATGCAAAAAACAAAAAACACCTGGTGAATAAAGAATTCTTTTAGTGAAAACAAGATTAATAAAAAGCTCTGGACCCCAGGCAATATTATTAAAGTCTCTTTATTTCAATACTTAATGTTATCATTAATGATAATCAAATCTCAAATAAAATGAGCAGTAAGTTTGTTATTTCCAAATAAGCATATTTTCACTCTGATTAACTATGAACACTTTATAATTGATTAGGCTTTGCATTGAAAAGGAAGCTGAAAGTAAAATGAACAGCTTTATAAGAAAATTACCTGTAAGCATTTTTTCCCCCTTAAAATAAGCAGGCCTGAATGAGGTTCATAGCAGAGAAGTCCAATTAGCAAGCTTATTTGCATTCCACACACATTGCTCTTTTTATATCATATAATTATTCTATTTTTCCAATCACTCTATAACCGATGACAGACAACCAGTTTGAATTTCAGCTACGTTAGCGATCCACTGGCTTTCTCCGGGTCCAGAGGAAACCTCGGTACATGTTTTAACCGAAGGTTTAGGGCCCTCCCTAAGCTAACACTCTTATCTAAAGGGTTATTATAAGAAGACTCAGCAGCACCTGAGGTTTAGCCAAGCCCTTCCATGGAGGAAGCAGGTCTGGGGGAGGGAGGGGCCCCGCCCCAGCTTCTCCTGTTGAGAACGAGCACATCAGAGGCTGCCACGCTTCAGCTGCCGTCTCCACGTGGGTGCATGGTTTTGCTTTCATGCCACTTTCTCTAATGTCTTCCATCATATTGTTTAAAAACATCACACAAACTCATTGCCTCTTATAAATTGTTAAAAAGATGCCACTCTCATGATGCTCACAATACCTGCCCCTCACCTGTCACAGGGGTCTACACAGCACCGGCCGCCCAAGTTTTCTTAAAGGGTCAGAAAGTAAATATTCTGTGCTTTGAGAGCCATCCAGTCTCTGTCGCAACTCATCAGTTCTGACTTTGTGGAATGAAAGTGGCTGTAAACAAGGCCTGAATAAATGAGCATGCCTGTGTTCCAATGAGACTTTCGTTTATGGACCCTGACATTGGAATCCATATCGTTTTCAAGTGTCACAAGATAATTCTTCTTCATGATTTTTTTCATTATTGAAAAAGTCCTAACCACTCTTAGATCACAGCGTGTACAAAACCAGCAGCGGGTGAGACGTGCCCTTGGCTGTAGCTTGCTGACTGGCATGCTTACGAAACGTGTGAGGAACAAGCTGGGATGAAGGAAGAAGGAGGCGATACATTGAGCAACAAAACCAAAATAAAAAATTTGTGGTAAGCTGAAAAGCCAATTTAAAAATATTAGGATGAGATTGAACAGGGATAACTTAGTCCTAATCCTATCCAGTTGGATATCACTTCATTCTGGAAACAGTACTAGAAATTATAGGTCATCTAAATAAAAGTTCAAGCCTCTCTAAATGTAACATGGACTAATTCATTAAGGTAATTGGTAAAACAATGAAATCATAACAATATTTACTGAGAGAAAGTACAGAGCAGTGGTTAGGGTATAAGCTTAGGAGCTGGGTTTGAATCTCAACTTCTTTATGCACCGACCAAATAACTTTGGACTAGTTGCTGACCTGCTTTGTGCCTCAGTTTTCTTATCGAACATCCACTTGATAGGTTTGTTGTGAGGATTAAATGAGTTAGTGCATACAAGGTACCTAGAAACAAGGTGCGCTAATAGTAAAAAGTGTTAGCTATTACTTAGGACATCATTCAATTAAGCATCTGCAGCCTCATTATACATACAGAGAAAGGAGGCACACAGGTACTTTGGCCAACCTCATTGGAAGTGGGGTCTTACAGAGAAACAGTCATGTTTTAAAAATAAATTTGAGATCATTGTTGATTTATATACAGTTGTCAGAAATAATACAGAGAGATCCTATATCCAGTTTCCCTCAATGACAACATCTTGCATAACTATAGCATAATAATACAACCAGGAAATTGGTACAAGCCAGTTTATTCAGATTTCACCGGTTCTGGGTGCACTCAATTATATGTGTGTGTATTTAGGTTTTTTTTTGTGTGAGCTTATTCTCCAGCAAGAGCAACCAGATAGAAAATTAGCTCATCAATTCAGTAATTTAAATGTTGTTAAAGAAGATAGTTACACAGCTTCATTTAGATCACACACTTGAATATTACTTCCAACGATTTTAAAGGAAGAATGGCCCTCTACTGGAAACTCAGCACATCCGGATTGGATTCAGCCACTTCTTCCCATTTCCCTCAACCACCCCTCTCTCCCAAAGGCTTTGCCCTTAAGAACTAAGACACATGAGTAAGGAGATGGAAAAAATAAAACTTTCTTCAAGCTTCACACCAAACTATTGAGAGAGAGGGTAGAGACATAATTCTTTCAGTACATATTTTGAACATATGTTTCTTCATCACCCCAAGGGGCCTTTAAGACCGGACTCCTTTGCACTTCCAGTTGGGCAAGGTGATTTGATCAACAAGGGCAGAGAAGGCCCTGCTCACCCGCTCAGCTCCACGATACAGGTCCGTGTTTACGGAAGGCTGAGGATCTGAAATCAACAAACAAGAGAATCCTTCAGAGAAGGTACCCGTAGGTTCTCAAGCTGATATTTATAATGCTCCAGGACAGGGAAGAAACAGAATCCACCTCTCCTCAGTTCCTGATGATAATGCACTCTCTCTAAAATAGCTGGCAAGGGAGAGAGTGAGGTAGCTATTATTTACCAGGATCAGTGACCCATCCAACCAGGTTGTGGGTTCCCAAAGGCATTTCCCTGGACTCCAAGCACAGACCTGAGTAGCCAGGAAGCCCACTCATTCTGGTGTACATCGGAACCACCTGGGAAGTGTCAGAAAAGACTGCTAGTTCCTACCCAGAATTCTGACTCAGTATATACTTGATTGCACTCAGGAACCCAGATATTTGGTCAAACACTGTTCTGGGTGTGTCTGTGAGGGTGTTTCAGAGTGAAGTGAACACGGAATAAGTAGCCTGGGTAAAGCAGACTGCCCTCCCAGTGTGGCGGGACCGCATCCAGTCAATCGAAGGCCCGAAGAGAACAAAGTGTGAGTAAGGGGATTTCTCCTGCCTGCCTTGCAGCTGGGCTGTCAGTCTTCTTCTGCCTTTGGACTCAGAATGAAACACCAACTCTTCCTAGGTCTTGAGCCCGCCAGCTTTCGCACTGGAACCACCCTTTGGCTCTGCTGGCTTTGAGCTTGCTGGGACTTGTCAGCCTTCATAATCATGTGAGCCAACTCTTTAAAATAAACTTCTCTCTCTCTCCCTCTGAAATATTGTGCCACATTAAAAAAAATGACATTGCACAATGTCTAAGATATATTGTCAAGTGAAAAAAACAAAGATACATATGGGTGTTCCCCCAAAATGTAAGCATACACTTTGAATAATTATAAAGGCAGTGTTTATTAAAATACATTTCATTTTCAAAATTGAGCCATCAGCCGTTAAAGCGTGTATACATTTTTTTGGGTACACCCTATATAGGTAGACTAAAAGGATGAAGGAAAACTCACTAAACTGTTAATACTAGTTACCTCATGCAAAACAGGTAGCAAGAAGTGGAGGGCATGATAATGAATTCATTTCTTTAAAAAATCTTTGCTTAGGCATTTTAATTTTACAATGAGCATGTCATATAATAATATTCTTTGTGTAATTAATACAAAAAATCACAGACAATGAAAACATGGAAAGGCTTGTTTTGTTAGTTACACACTTGAGTTACATGTTTTCTATTGAACATAAGAGGAGAGGTTTTATGCCTTTTTTACTCTGTCTATTTCCTAACATTGCTCCAGAATGACAAGGACCTTGAATAAACAGTATTTTATTGCCTGAATAAAAAACCTTGTCCAGAGGCAAACTTATTGTAGGATATTCTGTTTCTCAGTCCACAGTGATAAATATTTAAGACATGGCAATAAAGAAACAGGGAAGCAATAATCCATTTTATGCATGGAAGTTTTTTTCTCATTGTTGGTTGTTTTCTTTTTAAGCTCCAGTCTCTGAATGTTAACAATAGCCAAAGACGTGCACCTAGCATGTGATTTGGCCTACATTTGGAATTCAGTACATATAGGGACTGAATTTCCATAGCATACAGGTGGAAATGTTAGACATATCTGTGAAACCAATATTCCAGAAGATATCACAATGAGCAAATAATTTCACTCGAATGTTAGTAAAAATTTGTCTGGTCTCTGAATGAATCAAGGATGAAGGAGACGGCAATCAGATTGACAGCTATGGAGGTTTAAAAGTATTAGGTTATTGAGTCTACGATTACCTTTCTGGGCAACTGAAATACTGAGCCCATGTCTTCCTTACAACAATAATTAAGCAAACCAATAGGAACGAATATCTACTGTACTCGGACCTCTCCCTTGAGCTCCAATGGTACATGTTGATTGCCATTCTGATACATCCATTTGCATGTCTCTCAGACAATTCACACTTAATGTCCTCAGAACAGAACTCTTGATTTGCCCACCTCCATCTCAGTGTTCCCCGCTTCCTTCATTGCAATAGTGTATCACCATCCACCCACCCAGGCCAAGCCACCATCACATCTTACTTAGACAGCAACAGGCTATTACCTGGTCTTTTTGCTCACCCCCTTGCCCTTCTGCCAGCCACATTCCACTCAATGCCAGAGTGTTTAAAAAACATGTATCTATTTCAAAATGAATGCCAAGCATCAAGCAAAGCATTTGGCACATAGTAAATGCTGGATGTCTATTTGTTAAATGAATGAATGAATGAATGATTCCCAGGCAACATCTGAGAAGACTGCCTTCTAAATAAATGAGACAAATACAGTGTCAAATGTCTATTGCTGTAGTTGATAAAGTCTTGTTCTTTATTTTCCTACAATTTGCTAAAGTTCATGCTTGATTTTAAGATCATTTAAAATAAGAATTTAGATGCTGGTTCCAGAGGAGGAAAAAAAAAGAACAGGAATAGACCTCCAACGTCTCCACCCTTAATGCCGTCCCTCTACTCCCTTGCCTTCCCTTCTCATCCTTTAAACCTACAGTGGCAAATAGACGGCAAAAAGGGATGGGAGAGAAGCTGGGAAAAGGATTTCAGGTAGACAGAGGATATTTTACTCAAATTAGAAAGAAAATAATTTAATGAGAAAGTGAGACTAGAATATTATGTCCTTTTCTTTCTTTCTTTTTTTATCACCACTAAAGCAAGTCCTGTTAGATGTTCTTTCAAATCTAATCCCTTTTGTGAAAGTTTGAACAAACTGCTACTGATTTTTCAATTGAACATTTGGGATTTCTAGAGGTTTGAGGATCCCTTTCTATACTTTATCTTTTCTATTAAGCTTCCATAGGCTCTTAAAATCCTATTATCCTAGGTATTGATACTGAATGACTCTATTCCGTTAATGTCAGCAATCACCCCCACACTGACCATCAGGCTTGCTGTTCTAATCTTATTAAGACTTAAGTAATATAAAGGTCATTTTAATTTCCAAAATGTGTTGACTTCTTAGTAAATCTCCAATCCAATAGGGTGGTCACTAGGATAATCACAATACTGGGTGAATACGTTAACACTGTGTGAGTAAATCTTAGCATATTACACATAGTAGATCTTTCTAATCTTCCCAACAATTCTCAATTTAAAACACACACACACACACACACACACACACACACACACAATTGGGACAGCAAAATGATCAGAAACTTCCTGCTGTGGTCTTATTCATCCATGACAGAGACAGAAATAAAACGAAAGTAACCAATACCTTAATTTAATTTCTTTGCCTTTCCACATCTTCATCAGGGTGGCTACAAATCATGCTTCTGTCTCTGATTCAGTTTGAGGTAATTCTAGTGAGCATCCATAGATTATACATAAATTATGGAGTGTAATTTTTATTTATTTATTTTAATCTTCACCCGAGGATATGTTTTTACTGATTTTAGAGAGAGAGGGAGGGAGGGAGACACACACACACCCACACACACACACACACATCAATGTGAGAGAAAAGCCCCAATTGGTTGCTTCCTACATACACCTAAACCAAGGATTGAACCCACAACCTTTTGGGTATATGGGACGATGCTCCAACCAACTGAGCCACCTGACCTCTAATCCAGACTACCAATGGCTAAGTAGAACTTACAAACAGGATCATATTCAATACCAGACTAAATAAGGACATAAAATTAAGAATATTTAAGTAAGGGATGACAGTGTTTAATAATTGCAAATAGTAGCCATGAAAATTAATACAGATCTGATGCCTAAAAGCCTCAAAGATCTAAGACTAATATAAAATAAACTAGAGGCCTGTTGCACTGATTCGTGCACTGGTGGGATCCTTCAGCCTGGCCTGCACCCTCTCATAATCCGGGACTCCTCAGGGGATGTAATAGTGTGTGAAGCGGCAGGTAGCCTAGGAGGAGCCTGAGCCAAGGCCGGATGCCGCGCCGCTCCCACTCATCCCGGGCCCACTGTGCCTGTTGCTGCCTCCTGTGGGAGCGCACTGACCACCTGGGAGCAGCTCCTGCGTTGGGTGGTCAGTGCGTGTCATAGTGACTGGTCTACTGGTTGCTTGATTGCTTAGGCTTTTATATATATAGATTACACTATAAGTTAAAATCTGATCAATTAGTGTTTGCTGAATAATCATGAAGTATATAATACTCTAATAACAAAAAGGGAAAATGTGCATCCCTTTGATATAATAATGCATAATTTCTGCATAAGTATTTCAGTGTTTCTATTTTGGTTGTAAATGCAAGTAGAAAATTTTTTGAGACATATATTCTTATATTTTCTACATTATTTAACATGGCTAATTGCATCTTTATTCATTATTACATCATCTGAATTGAAAAATAAACTTTACTTTTTCCTGATTTTCCTTTAATGGTTGAGCTTGATAGACGTTAATAAAGTCACTTAAATTATGCATAAATCTTGCCTTAGCCAGTTTGGCTCAGTGGATAGAGCAGCCGTGGGCAAACTACGGCCTGCGGGCTGGATCCGGCCCATTTGAAATGAATAAAACTAAAAAAAAAAAGACTGTACCCTTCTATGTAATGATGTTTACTTTGAATTTATATTAGTTCACACAAACATTCCATCCATGCTTTTGTTCCGGCCCTCCGGTCCAGTTTAAGAACCCATTGTGGCCCTTGAGTCAGAAAGTTTGCCCACCCCTGCCCTGGTTGCAGGTTTCCCAGCCCTGGCCAGGATATGTGCAGGAAGCAACCAATCGATATCTCTCTCTCACATTCAATGTTTCTCTCTGCTCTCCCTCTCTCTTCCACTCTCTAAAAATCAATGGAAAAAAATATCCTTGGGTGAGGATTAACAACAACAACAAAATACATAGATCTTTTATCTTTAGGCACCAAACTGAACACAGTGTGGGGGGTGGTATTCCAAATATGTGTAGATCTAGTCTATTAGGAATCTGAACTGTGCAGAATAGCCGGCTTACATTTGTTGTGGCTGACCCAACACAACATTTTAGAAATCAGAAAAGGCCAAGTAGATATTGACTTTGCTTTGAATACTTATCATGACCCCAGTGATGTTTAGATGGAAATACAGTGGGTGGAATCTTGTGTCAGCCTAAGAATCAGGCACAAGGAGTTCCTATGCCATCCTTGTCTCAGGCATTCTGGGCATGCTTCTGGCATCTTTGTGATGCTGTTCCTCTGATATAATAATTATAACTCCCATTCCCTTCACAGTAGAGAATTTAGACTCACCAAGTAATTTCTTCAGTGACTTGGCTCTACCGAGTTCAACATCCAGCTGACACTAAGCACCCATTTTATAGTCTACCACCTGTTATGGTCTAAATCCCGACGTGGCCATGTTAACACTGCTGCTGGTGAAGGAGTGGAGGGGAGAGCATGAGGACCCTCCGCTCTTTAGGCTCCACGGGCCGGATAGAACAGCTGAACGGGCCGGATCCGGCCCGCGGGCCGTAGTTTGCCCACGGCTGCAAGGCCACTAAGGAAAAAAAAAGTGTGTGTGTGTGTGTGTGTGTGTGTGTGTGTGTAATGTATCTATCTACTTATTTATAATTTTATTATTACTATTTTTTCTTAAGCCAACCAGTCTGTGGTACTTCATTATGACAGCTCTAGCAAACTAATATATCAACTCAGAAATATTTTGAGAAGAACTCCTGTGATGCAGAAACACGTGAGAATGTTATCCTTTGTTTTATCACAAGTTTCTAGATGAATTGTACTCCGACATAAAAGATCTTAGGTTTTCTTAAAAAGAAATGGATGTAGCTATCAATATCAATATGCTAAGATAACAAAATGCTCTATAAATAATACATCATGCCAAAATAGAAGAAATAACTATAGGAAAAAAGGATTAAAGAAAAGATCCTTTAGAAGTTAGCAATGAGTCATAGTTTATGAAGAATATGAGGAAGCTCATGATGATACTACTTATAATATGGAAACCTTAACCAATGATCCTCTAGAAATAAGAGCATAATTTATGCTGACCAGTTATATGTTTTACTATTGATAATAGTAATTGCAATAAGAAACTAATAAGCATTTGCTGAATTCTTGGTATGTGCCAGGCGCTAGACTAAAATCTCAGATGGTTTATCACCTTTCATGCTCACAACAACTGGAATGAATTAGGCAGTACTAGAAATCATGTTCAGAGATGCTACTGATGTGCAAAAGATTCACTACTCTGACTGGTGATGAATTGTACTTTCTAGGTGAATTGTAGCTGTTGGGCTAATGTTATAAAATCAAGTGTTTTTAAAAGGCCATCACTATCTCTATTGATTGTGAAAAATCTTACCTGATGGCATTTCTAGAGTGAAGGCATCCGTAAGTTTTGATAGCAGTTCTTGCAGTTCCTCTTCTTCCAGCTCATCCTTTTCCTCCTGGATGTTAACTGTCTCTTTCCTTTCCCTGGGTGGTGGAGTAGGACTGTTGATTTCCGTAGGAGCATTCTGGGAGGTGTCCTGTAGCAGTCCTTCCTGGGGACTGGTTGGGGAGCTAAAGATTTCCTTGGAGGTCTTTTGTGCTTGGCTTTGTGCCCTGGTGCTTTGTGTTGACTTTGGCTGCAAAATGGCCTCTGGTGATTCTGAATTTGGTAGAGCATGCTCTACTTTTACTTGACTTTGTTGACTTTTGTCAACCAAAGTGGGGTTAAGAAAAGGTTTCCATTCCGGACCATCCACACTGGCATTCTTGCTCTGGGAAGAATCTTCTTCCTTCCAAAGACTTTTATCCTTTTCATGGTCACTCTTGGAAATCATATCTTGATAGGAAGATGGATGGAGTGGCTGAAACTTTGCCTGGAGAAAAAAAAAAGCTTTACTTATGAAGAAATTAACACTTATCTTGCTTTTTTAAAATATATGCATTTCATTTTAATATTCCAAAAGGAAATTGTAATGTGATATTTTTTCTGCTCTCTAAATACATTAATCTAATGTATGCTGTTAATTCAATATCAACCTAAAATTGTCTACAAAAGTTAAAACAGCTCAGATATTAAAATATCACAGGGAATAATCACAATGGATTTGAAAAATGTTGGGTTCTAGATACTCAGTTCCTAAGATTGTAAAGAATTTCTGAAAACATCATCCTATATTGAATTGATAGATTAAAAATGGAGTGTAAAATAGATACGTTTTCATATTCAATGTCATTTAAGAAACAGTTTCTTATGTTTTGGTGAAGCATCAAAGATCTCCAATTACCTGAAAAGTCTATGAAAATACTCTTTTTCAACTGCAAATTTGTGTGAGGCCACGCTTATTCATATACTAGAGGCCCGGTGCACAGACTCATGCACATTGAAAGGAAATTAATTAGAAGGTTCCCAGTGGGGCGGGACTGGGTGAGATGGGCCTGACACAACCCCCCATGGCCCCTCTCCAGCATCTGCAGAGTGAGAGGGCTCCCTCCAGCAGGTGGGGTCCCCCAGCCTGGCCTGTAGGGATTGGGCCAAAACCAGCAGTCCAACATCCCTTGAGGGGTCCCAGAATGTGAGAGGGCACTCTGCAAAGTTGCTGTCGCTCAGCAGCTCCTGCATTGAGCATCTGCCCCCTGGTGGTCAGCATGCATCATACCTACCGGCCGGTCAGTCGGTTGCTTAGCCTTTTATATATATAGATTTCAACCAAAACATCTTGCCACAGATTGAATGCTGAAGCAATCATGAAAATCCAGCTGTCTTTTATTAAACCATATATTAAAGAGATTTCTAAAAATTGCAAAATGATGCCACACTTCTCAGTCTTAAAAAATATGTAGTTACTGCTTAAAATTGTTATTTTATTTTTTAAATCCTGACCCAAAGATATGTTTATTATTGATTTGAGGGGGTGAGGGGGAGATAGAGAGAGGGAGAGAGAGAGAGAGATTTTTCCCCCACTTATTTATGCAATCATTGGTTGCCTGTTGTATGTACCCTGACCAGAGATTGAACCCTCAATCTTGGCATATTGGGAGGATGCGCTAATTAACTGAGCTACCCAGTCAGGGCCTCCATGGCTCAGTTTTAATTTTTATTATGGAAAATATTGATAGATATAACCCACAGAAGCTCCTCGGGACTCCTAAAATTTTTTTAAAGAAGGTAAAAGGGATAATGAGACCAAAAGGTTTAAGAATGAAAGCTGTAAAGAACCTCTTTGCCCCAGGCCTATTGTTTCTAAATGGTACTAATTCTGTTCTCTCCCAGTGGCACTACCTTCACAAAGCGGGAGGACAGTTTGGAAAATGAAAGCTGGAGTGGGTCCAAGTATGAAGAGGAGAGGGAAAGGGAAAAGGCTGGTCAAAGTGAGATGCGAAGTTTCAGGCTGCAGCCCTCCCTTGACCAGAGGATTCGAGGTCAGACTTTCAGGTAGTCCAGGTGGCCAGGGTCTCCTACATTTTATACCTGTAAATCCTGTCCCATTTGCTGTAGCTTGGTCCACAGGCTGTCCTGGTTGGCTGTGAGTTCGTGAATCTTTGTTTCAAATCTGCAACATTTTTCTTCTTGGGAGGTGTATATGGCTTGCAACTTGTCTTTGTATCGGTTTAACTGTTTTTTAAGGAACCTAGAAAAAACAGGTCTGAATGGGTTGAAAGAGCAAGAGGCCAGCAGACTAAGTAGAGGCGGGTGTAGCAAGATGTACTCCAGGTCCCCTCCATAGGAGAAGATGCTGGAGAAGCCTGTGCCTTGACTGTTATCTAACACTAGAGGCCCGGTGCACGAAATTCGTGCACTCGGAGTGGTGGTGGTGGGGGGGCGGCCCTCCAGCCTGGCCTGTGCCCTCTCACAGTGTGGGAGCCCCGTGATCGATCACCCCAAAGAGGTAGGTCCACCCACCTATCCAGGGCTCCTTAATGGATTGCCCCAAAGAGGTAGGCCAGAGCTGGGGGTCCCGCCTCCATGCCGTGCACACAGCGTCAAGTCCCTGCCCACCCACGCACACCTCGCTCCACATGCAGCCTCCTGGTGATGGATTGTGACGGCATGAGGGCATCACAGTGTGATGGTGTGAGGGCATGATGACCATTTGCATATTAGCTCTTTATGATATAGGATTGTTCACCATGTGCAGCTGTCCTTCAGGTCTATTGTAGTATACCTGATTCCACTAAGAATTTCACTGGCTTTGAGCGGTTTTAGAAAACTCATCATGCAAACCTTCACCAGATGCTTAAGTCTGAACATTGACTTTATTCACTATCATTTTGTCTAGAAATACTCCAAGTAAAGGTAGTATACATGCCATGGCTAAACTCCTGATACCTGTACTCCAGTAGGTGTGTGAAGGCTTTACCCTATTCCCCCTGGATCCCTCTTTTCCTCAGGTTCTTGCTTTGTTAACCATCATGTTCTTAGAGAGGCCATCCCTGACCACCCTACTTGAAATTGCAAATCAGAGCCCCCACCCTCTGCTCCAGCACCTCCCATCCCTGTTCCTGCTATAAGTATCTCCATGGCCTTTTGTTATCGAATTGCCACAGAGTGTAAACAGATCTTAGATTCTGACTTAGTCTCCAGCCTTCAAACAGTCACATTACGTGACATAAAACCTGTTTTTCTTATATATGATTTACTCTATTACTTAATAACTGCTTACTATCTCTTTAGTCTGGCAATTTTTTTTCCTCTGTTTTGCTTGTTGCCATATCCTCAGGCCATGGCCTGCAATAGTCCCTGTTACAGATATGTGTCCAGTTCAAAGTGGCTTACTAAAGTGCAATCTCATTCTTTGAGCAGTGCTATTGGCATGTTTATTGAATTTGGAGAAATGTACAATCTCATTCTTTGATCAGTGCTGTTGGCATGTTTATTGAATTTGGAGAAATGTACAATCTCATTCCTTGATCAGTGCTGTTGACATGTTTATTGAATTTGGAGAAATGGCTCTTTGTGAGAAATGCAACATTTTTCACTGTTAGAGCCTTTGAAAATCCTATTTGCTCCTGACCTTGGAGAGCTCTTAGAATTTAGTTTGGGCTTCCATCAGAAGCAGGCATTTCTAGAGGCTGGCCTTCAAACTTCCAGACAGTCTCACTCAGGAGAAACAGGACCCTGACTCTAAAATCCAGAATCATGACTGAAGTTTCAAGTATATCTTTATGGTGGGTTTTCAGAAAGGAGTCTGCACAGGGATTTGATGTTGCAGAAATCAACCATTCTCAGAAGACCGCCCTAACAGTGTCATCCGTGCCTAATGCGCTTGTTATGACCGCTAATGATGCTGGTTTCCCTTTCTCCCATGTTGCCCCCAACTCCTATCCTCTTTCTCCTCTCTCTCTGGACTGTCCTCCATGCTTGGACAGCTAGAAGACATGTACCCGCTTCCTCCCACAATCCAGGTGAAAGTAGGTAAAGCCCTACTTAAAGTATTGTTCTTGTCTTACTCCATTTTTTTAAAGGATAAATTCTTCTGCAGAGTTTTTGATGAATATAATTGACCCGATACCAAGATTTCCATCAACTGGGAGCCCAGTACTTTCCAGGCAAATATCCATTGTTCACAAGCAATTCAGATTGTTTGAGAAATAATTCCTTTCAAATGATCTAGAATCTTCTTTTCTACACTTTAAAAAATCTTTATCTGTAGCTTGAATCTCCCATGTAATGGGCTTTCAGATAGAATGGGAACACGCCCAGGCCCAGTGACTCACACACGGAGCAATTTCGTTCCTTGATCAGCACCTAGCGGAGGACAGTGTAATAAACAGGTAACTAGTGATTGGATGATGCTCTTTCTTTTAGTGTAGTCTGAGTTGCCTTTTCAGTAGCCAGTGACACAGTGTTGGCTGATGTTGAACTTAGTTAACTATATATCTCAGGTCTTTTCCAGACTATTTGTTCCAGACTATGGGCCTGTAATTGTAGGGCTTGCATTTAATCCTTTACAATTTGGTCTTTATTAATTGCCCCAATGTTCTAGACCAGTGGTCGGCAAACTGAGGCTTGGCAAACCATGGCTCGCGAGCCACATGTGGCTCTCTGGCCCCTTCAGTATGGCTCTTCCACAAAATACCAACTTGTGCGCATGGACCACAAAGTTTCAATCGCACTGTACGTGCGCGCCCGCACGTGGTATTGCGAGCGCGGTTTGCCGACCACGGTTCTAGACTATCACGTTGTAGTGAGCCCAGGTTGTCATTCAGCTTATTGTCTAGGCCAGTGGTTCTCAACCTTCTGGCCCTTTAAATACAGTTCCTCATGTTGTGATTCAACCATAAAATTATTTTCGTTGCTACTTCATAACTGTAATGTTGCTACGGTTATGAATCGTAATGTAAGTATCTGATATGCAGGATGGTCTTGGGCGACCCCTGTGAAAGGGTCATTCGACCGCCAAAGGGGCCGCGACCCACAGGTTGAGAACCGCTGGTCTAGGCCATCTGGTATCATGTCACACACATTTGAGAAGCATACCCTCTACTATTTTATCCAATTCATTGATACAAATAATAATGCAGAGAGAAACAAGAACAAAGCCTTCACATAGATTCATTCATTAATCAGCCTCCCACTTTGGTATACTTTATGTTAATAAATACCTTACTAGGAGACCAATGACGTATATATTTAGTGGGTAGGAATTATATAAAAGGAAATAACTTATTTTAAAATAATTAGTTTGAAATAATTATTCTAAGAAGTAAGTTTTAAAGAATCAAAATTGCCTTTTCATACACTACTTTCCTTAATATTATTTCTAATTTCCTTTTCTTATACCATAATAAAGATTAAAATTGCTTTTAACATTTGAATTATTTAACTTATTTGAAAGTGTTATTAAGCACCTCTCCATGAGTTATCACAGATTTTTAAAATGTCCCTTATCTGTCATACATTTATACTATGAAGCACATCTCTTTCTCTCTTTCCATATATATTGAGCATCTGCTAAATAACAAGCATTGTGCCTGAAAATCAAGGTCTTCCCTCAGGGGGAACTTCCCACTGAGGATCATGAATTCCGTCTTCTAAAGAAATGACAACAGGAGGCAGGAACTCAAGGAATAATTAATCCCTTGAGACACAATAAGATGGTCGACAGTTTCCAACAAACCTAATAAACCCGGTAGAAAGTTGGATGCTGTTGGGGGACGTGTGCTGATTTCTTTAGAAGAAGGGAAACACACACACCAGACACACACAGAATCACACTTGGCTGAAAATGCTTAACCAATTTTCAAGGACTGCAATAAGAACTCCAAACATGACTTAATTAGCCGGTTGATCTCTGTTATGTTCAACTATTCAAATAGAGGCAAAGCCCCCTTTTATCTTCATACTGGAATCATAGGATTTCTATGTTTAAGAAATATCTTCTAGATTTAAAAAATCATGGTAGAATCATTGTAAAAAAATCGTTGTAGAAAAGCAGAAAGAAACGCCATTGGTTTGTTTCTGCTGTCAGTATTTGTGCATGCCCGTGGTTCCTACCTTCTTTCCC